TGATGTGGGTACTTAAATGAAAGGTCTCGATGAGTGTGTAATGTCAGGGTGAGCTTATATCTTTAAAAATGTCAATAGTTCTCAAAATACAAGGTCATTTCTTAATTATTGACCTTTTTAACGATATAAGCTCATCCCAATGTTAAACCCACCAAGAGCTTTCATTTGAGTACCCACATACATTTTTGATATATTTTTCATATATTCATATATATAATATATATAAATATATAAAAAAATGATGTGGGTACTTAAATGAAAGGTCTCGATGAGTATAAAATTGAGATGATCTTATATCTTCAAAAATTTCAATAGATCACAAGATACAAGGTCATTTCTTAATTTTGTATCTAGAGATAGAACATCTTCGAATGCAGCCTAAACACTTATCATCATAAATTGACTATTTGTGAGAATAATATGAAACCATGAAAAGACACTCCAGGTCAAGACTTTTACAACGATACCAAATTTAACCATAAGCACCCATTTTATCATATAAATACACCGACCACAAAATTTTGCTTATTCCCTTAATAATATAGATTATTAAGATAATGACAAAATTTTTAATCTATTGATTAAATTTCTTAAACAATTTATTTTGAAATTCAACAATGTTTATCAATACCTTTAAAGTTTTTTCATATCTAAACGAAATTTTTAGTCACAATAAAAAAAAAAATAACAACAAGAATGAATAATAATAATGATAAAAAACAACACGTGCACTTACTTGTAATGTGAAACCATACGTTCCGTTTTTCTTTTCAACAATAATAGTACGTCTCCGTCGATCCTCGTCAGCTCGTGTTACTCTATCCGATGGTGATCTTTCCAGGACAGTCTGATAAAAAATTAAAGGCATTAATCAACTCACCAGTAATTAATACAGCACTACTACTTCAAATTACGCAACTAATTAAATCTCAGAATATTTAATTTCGTATCTAAGTACTCTGAAGCATATGAATATCTCCATTAGACTGTTTTATTATTAGAATCAGTCGACATATTTAAATATTTATAAATGATGTGAATATAAATATGACTAGGTAATTTTCATCATCTAATTTACCGCAGACAGTTTAAGTTTAATGTCTCCCCAAAAATAAGGTCTAAAATTAGCTCCGTAATTTGAATCTAAATTAGTAAAATAAAAGCAAAAAATAAATACACATTCAACAATAGCACTCCAATCATCTTCGTCAGCACTATTGTCATGGGTGCCGGTTCGTCGAGCAGCAACAGCTTCAGCGTTTTGCGGTGAGTCGTTCATCCTGCTTGTTTTTATTTACCACCGGTTAAATAAATAATATCCAGTCGTCTGGATAATTCAGGCGTTTTCTCCATCTTCCACTGGATCACTCAGTATCCGGGCGTCAACGTCAGTAGTCAGTAGTCATTAGGCCTTTTTACAGTGTTTAGGCACTACTGAATGCCTAAAAAACTATATATCAGTCTGTTATATGATTAAAGAATTACGTTACCAACGCTACTGATGTACAATATATTATATTGTATTATATTACCTCAGGGTTGATCCGGACAGAAATTTATTTTGCGCAAGCGCTACAATATCGGCGGTCTACAACCCCTATCTCCACCATCCACCACTGCTATTAGTTTGGATTATTTTTATTCCATATAACCCAATGACTCAACGAATCCAATACCACCAACGGAAAACACTGTGTTACTCATGCCAGTGTGTCATCTACAATCTAAAATCCGACAAAGGGTCACTCTCATTATTATTTCTTCCGGCGCATGTGCTTTGCAGGAAAATATTTAATTGCCTACTATTTTCCTGAAAATTTATTCATTATATATCATTATTGATTTATTCATATGTCCTAATTAAATTTTTAACTGTTTCAGATTCTTATTGTATTAAAATCAAATACTTTTCTTCCTTGATTAGAAAAAATGATTCAAAAAATTTTTATTTTGAAATTTTTGTAAAAAATCTTAAGTATGGAAAGGATTAAATACCTTTAAATTCATTTACACTATGCAAAATTATCATACTGAAATTTGAGAAACATTTGAAAATTTTTTTTAGCTCACAAATTATAGCAAAAAAAAATTATTTTAAAAATTCTATTTTTAGAAGCTTAAAAAAATTATAAATGCAATTTTTTTTTAATAATTTTCTATACCTAAATTAGATTATAAAAGAAATATTTGGAAAGATTAAAAATTTCTAATGATACTAAAGTTAGCCGACGTTTTTAATTTTTTTTTAAATAATTAAATTAAAAGAAAAAAATATTTTTAAAAAATTGCACTAACAGTTTTTAAAGTTTTTTACAAATGAAAATTTTTTTTCTTTTTTTTTTTCTAGTAATTTTTTAAATAAAAAAAAAATATTTTTAATTTTTAAATGTTGGCTAACTTAATTTTTAAATAATTTTTAATTCTTCATAATTAAAATCCTCCCTAATGATTAATCAATCAATCCGGAAACCTACTTGTGCTAATAATTAAGTAGATCTTTTGTTAATTTTAAAAATTTTTTAACTAACAAATTATAGTAAAAAAAAATTATAAATACAATTTAAAAAAAAAAATTTTCTAGACCTAATTTATTGTTCAAGAAAAATAAAAAAATTGTCAAGTGTCTACTAACTTTAAATGCAAAATTATACTAAACAATTAAAAAGAATTATTTCTTCTAAAAACTTCGTAATCGCGACCTAAAAAAAAATTGGAAAGATTAATAATAAAAAATTTTTAATATTTTTTAATCCTCAACAATTAAAGTCCTTTTGATTGATAATCAATCAATCAATCAGGGAACCTACTTGTGCTAATAATTAAGAAGACATTTTGGTAATTTTGAAAATTTTTTAACTAACAAATTATAGCATAAAAAATTTATTTTAAAAAATTCACCTTTAGAAGATCAAAAAAATTATAAATACAATTTTTTTAAAATAATTTTTTATACCTAATTAGATTAGAAAATAAATATTTGTATAGATTAAAAATAAAAAATTTTTAATCTTTTTTAATCCTCAACAATTAAAATCCTCCCTAATAATTAATCAATCAATCAATCAGGGAACCTACTTGTGATAATAATTAAAAAGACGTTTTGTTAAACGTCAAAGTCGGCTTGTATGATGATTCAAAAAGACCCAGAGGTCTAGATGCTTGACAATTTCTCGCATCAATATTATCTCTTCTAGATGTTGATTTCTTCCCGGAAAATCCAGGGCTTGCAACACTTGAAGAGATTCTCTGGCACTCAAAGACACTGCTGTCATCCAGGCTTTTGAATAAATACGGCTTCCTATTATGAGGAATCTCAAACTGAGTAACCAGCTTCTTTCCGAAGCATGAAGTTCGGATGAAAACTGTTACATTGCCTACTACTTGTCCTGTTGCTGTTTCAATCCTGGAAGAAATAATTCAGGATAATAAGTAATAATTGATGGTAATATCGCGAATTTACAGACTTACGTGTAGGTATTCTTGAGTGATTTGGAAGCATCTGAACCTCTGAAGACATGTTCTCGCAACAATCCGTTCATAAGCTCTTTCATCTCGATCTGGTGAGCGCCAATGTGCATCACGTCTGGCAAAACACCTGCCGGAAGCTTTTTGTAGACTGACAGTGTCACTGGGAAGGTGTGGAGAGGCTTTTCGAGCACCAGATTAGGTAGTGCGAACAAACACGACTTTCCTTTGCGGAAGAAATTGTCGGAGCGAGCTCCGCTCACTGGATCTTCTTGATAAATATTTACGGCTGGTAAACTTAGAATCTGATAAAATTTATATCTAATTGTATTTACACTGTAAAGATATATTTTATTTTATGATATTTAATTTGAAATAGTATAAAAATTCTTGGAGTATTTTATTGTAAGCACCTCACGAAAAAAAACACGTGAGAAGTGCGCTTTAAATAAAAATATATTTGGTACTTTAATGAAGATATCTAGAAGTGTTTTAAAAATAAATAATTAAATAAAAAAAAATAAAGAATATATCAATATTATGTTTATTAATTTGGGAAAAATATTTACCGCAATTATTATTGCAAAACATAATAAGGAATAATGCAGACATGTCAAAAATATTTAAATTATAAATTATAAAAATAAATAAATATTTTTGTCTGCAATTTAAATCATTTTTATTAACAATTAATTTTATTAATTAAAAAAAAATATTTTTTAAAATTGCACTTATAATTTTTCAAGTTTTCTACATGTCAATTTTTTTTTTAAACAAAAATTCTAAAAAACCACTGATAATTTTATTTTCATCCATTTTTAGCTTAAATAAAAATAAAACAATAGATCTTAGCTCGCTAATTTACATAAAAATAAAATAAAAATCATACTTTGAAAGACACACAAGTTTTCGCCGGCATAAATTCATCATGCATAGCTCGTACAGTCGGGACGCTGACTCTATCGACCAAGAATTCAATCAAAAACAATTTCTGCTCTGTCATTTTAAATATTCACAAAAATTTTATTCATTTTCTAAAAAAAAAAAAAACCCAAATAATAAAAAAAAACAAATCTAAATGTCACAAATTTTAAACAAAAAATACCGACTGTCATTTATTTCTTCTTTTTCTTTTTATTATTTTTTTTACTTTTCTTCTTGCTTGTCTTCCTAACCAGAATTTCTTCATCAAACTTAGCTTCCTCAGCCTCAGTTTGAATTTCCCTCGTTTCGCATCTGACAGGCAGCGTGTCAACCAAAGCTTTCGGGGTGCGTAACTCGATTTGAATATCCGACTTTTCTTCTTCGCCAACCAGCCCTTTCTTCCCAATTCTCAGGACAAACACATCAAAATCGGCATCTTGATGACAAGCGTCATTAAAATTGCCTTCTTGATCAATCATTCCGGAGACTTTGAGCACCAGCGGTTGGCTAAAAGGCGCGGGAGATTCAAAACCGCGCGCTTGCGCCTTATTCTCCCCTCCACTATCCTTATCGCCGCCATCTTGATGAGGACAGTAGTTCTCTCGACAAAATGGCGGATCTAACTGTAAATTCGATCGCTGACGGGCTTTTAAATTAAAAAGGCTCTGACTGATAAGTCTGCAATTGTACGCAAGAGCTTCTTGGTCCATAAATTCACTTCTAAAAATAAAAGACCCAGTTTTAGTTGCTGGAGCGTCGAAAGCGGTGACGATGGACTGCCCAAAAGAAGAAATACGCACGTAAGCAAGCACAAAGGCAGCTAGCTGGTTGTTGTGGTAAATTTCTACCGGGCCTTCGTAATTCTTCGGCGGAGGAACATCGCAGTTCCAACAGTCGAACATTTCTTTCCTCAATCCTGTGAATTCATTGGTTATGTCAAGCTCTCCTGTACCAATCAGCACGTCCGGGTGAATGTCAGCCGGCATTTTCTTGTACACTCGCAGATTTATCTTGAACTCTGCGTTCTTGTTCACGACCACCGTCTGGGGAATCGCGAACAAAATAGAACGCCCGGAGTAAAATTTTTCGACGTCCCGCGCTCCGATTGCTGGACGAGCCAATGGCGATAATTGCTGATGCGCTGGAGTAATCTCGATTGCGTCATTTTGGATCCCGAGGAATTGTAATAAGATACTCGTTGGCCCACGGAGAGTTTCGTTTAGTTTAGATACTCTTTCTCCGGTTATATAATGCACGAAAAACTCCAGCAAAAATAAGTACTGCTCTTTAGAAGATGATTGGTCTGACATTTTTTTAACTACATTTTTGATAATTATACTTGATAATTTTTATTATAACCTTGAATTTCTTTTGACAGGTTGTTTTATTTATTTATAAATTTTTTTTTTTACTTTCAGCGACCTGAATTGCGAGTAGAACTAATTTAAAAAAGACGTTTATAATTATTTTTTAAATATTTTATTGATTTTGAAGATTAAGTTTGATTTTAATAAATTTATTATTGTTTTTGTTCAGATATTTATTTATTTAAATTAAAAATATTGTCAATAATTTATCAGTAAAACGTAATAATATTATTAATTACATTTTTAAGTGATAATTTTTTTTAAAAATTCTATTTAATAATTATTTTTGTTAAAAGAAGAAATATTAATTTTTAATTAAATTTCAATTTTTCAGAATTCAATAAAAGAGTTTGTATTTGCTAAAACTCAGTGATAATAAGTCACTACAATATTCCTGGTTAGAAAGAAAAATTAAAAATGTTAATTTTTTATAAAAGAAGAAATCAAAAAGTATTAAAGGTATTCTCAAGTATTAAAAAGAATTTAAATTTGACTTCTAAGGTAACTAAAAATAGATATTAATAATTTATTATTCTAATTATTAAATCTTAAATTTTTTTTTTAAATATTTAAGTACAAATTTATTTTTAAGTAAAAAAAATTAACAGTAAAAGATTATAAATTACAAATTTTTTATAAAAATTCAATTTAATAATTATTTTTATTAAAAGAAGAAATATTAATTTTTAATTGTTCAGAATTCAATAAAAAAGTTTGTAATTGTTAAAACTCAGTGGTAATAAGCCACTGCAATATTCCTGGTCAGAAAGAAGAGTTCAAAATTATTTAAAATGTTAATTTTTTATAAAAGAAGAAATCGAAAAGTGTTAAAAATAATTTAAATTTGACTTCTAAGGTAACTAAAAATCGATATTAAAAATTTATTATTCAAATTGTTCTAATTATTAAATCTTGAAAATTTTTTTCAAATATTTAACTACAAATTTATTTTTAAGTAAAAAAAAAATTAACAGTCAAAGATTATAAATTACAAATTTTCATACTTTTATTACATGAAATTTATTTTTTCCAAACTAAGCTTCTTAAGCCTCTAATTTTAACGATCATACTTTTAACTACAGTGTTCTGTAAAATATCAAAACAAAAAGAGACTTAAATGACAGTCATATTTCAAATCACTGCTTACTTCTTTCACACAATAATAAACAACAAAAAAAAATATTAAAAAGCAATTAGAATATATTTAAATACAATGACAAAAAAAAAATAAAAAGAGCGGAACCACATTAACTAAATCCATCTGCTAATTGACCCGTGAGTCAAAAAAATTCTTGAGGATCGACAGTCCCTAGAGAGTCATTCATAGAAAAATTTATCGAATATCGTATCATGTACAGTGTGTCCATGAGATTGATTAAAACTCGTAAAGATTGTATCATCGCTCATAAACACAATGTTCACTAATTATAGTCAATTAAGGAAAGCCGGTTACATCTGATTTGTCAATTAAAAATCGATTATTTTATTGCAGAAAATTTCTTCTGAATATCTACCTTCTATCTATCTATCTTAAAAAATCCAGGTATGTTAAAATATTTTCCTAGTTAAGTATTTAGTAATTTATCTTCTTCACTGTTGACAAAACATTAAAATTTATAAATATTTCTTCTTTTATTTACAGACATTTCAATCACATCTGTCGCAAGTAAATAGAGTAACAAAAATGAATGTGATAAGAAAGCAACGACTACTTTAAATATTCTAATCGCTATCGCTATCAGTTATTGCTTAGTCGTTATTTATTCACCAAGGATGATAAATTGGAGTCGATAATACTTAAGCGTTTTTGACAAATAGCGAGAAGTTTGATGGTTGATTAAAATAACTACTTGAAGCAGCGGACAGTACACAGCGGAGATAATTGGCTAGTGGGGAGCCAATTCTTAGAAGTGAGGGAAGAAATTCCGAGGGTAGGAGAAGAATATGTTGGGAAGGGGAAGCATTAGTAAGTGGCGGGAAAGGCGAAAAAGGGGAAAAAATTAGTTTGCGGATAGTTCGTTCAAATCAACCGGTTTGTCAGTCTCAGTTCGTCCCAACAATTTTGGGCATGTACCCGTGGTATTAGCCACCGCAAGCTGTAATTTTAAACACTTAAAGCTTGGACTCGGTGGAAATACCACGGTTTGTTCGGTCTTTAGTTAAAGTATTGATATTTTTTTTTTTTAATCAATAGATTTCATTAAAGTTTTACCTCTAGTGTGATGTTGTAGTAAATTTTATTGTAACTTAAGGTAAGGACCACGTTTTTTTTCGAGTAATTATAAATACTTGGAAATTTTTATTTTTAGTTTGTACTTAAAGAAATTTTTATTTAATTTTTAGAGTTAATTTTTATTTTTATTTTTCTGTGAATTAATATTAATGAAGAAATTTTTTTAATTAATATTAATTTATATTTTTGGTTGCTTTTGTAATGTTAATTTATTTGTTTAATAATTTTAGGTAATTTGTTTGAAATTTTCGGTTTGCAAGAGGCTTTGCATGTTTCATCATACTTTAGTACACGCTCGATATTGCATGTGGTTCGTCATCCGCTAGTGTCGGTTTATGCGGCTTCTCGATATACACATATATTTATATACACATGGGTATCTTCATATATATGTTATATATATATATATATATATATATATATATATATATATATATACTTTGAATGAATACATATAAGGGAGGGCCGGATAAAATAGGGACGCTAAGAAAAGAATGGGTTTTTGTGAGCGTTAATACGGGTCTTTTTACTTTTCACTCGGGAAGAAATGAAATGTCTTTCGGGGAATTTTATTCAATAAATTTATATGCTGGATTGGATACATTGAAATTCATTTTTTAAGGTTTTTTTTTTTTTTTTTGACGAATTTATAATGTGAGATGTTTGAAATTGGAGATAATTTAATTTAATTTTAAAGAATTTTTTTTTAAGAAATATTAATATTTTTTTAATAATTATTTTTAATTATATTTATGAATGATTTTTTATTTTGGCTTTAAAGTTAAAAAAATAAAATAATTATTTTAAATTAAACAAGAAAATTTCTAATTTAAAAAATTTTAATAAAAAATAATCTAAGTAATCAAACACTTAAAATAAATCCCAAATCTAAAAATAAAAACTGATTAAATAGTAAACTTATGTTTCAAAAACGATATCATTGTTTTCCTTAGTATAATTAATAATTTTATCTTAACGATAATTTTTATAGTAATTGTAATTATTAATCTTAACAATGTGTCGAAAGATAATTGTACTTACAGACAAATTTATATCTAGTTGTACCCAGTTTATTTCATCACCAAAATAAATGAAATATTAGGATAAGATAGTCTCGGGAACTTTTCTTAAAACATAAAACACATTAATTACAATTACATTATATATTACACTATATTTTTTATCATTGGAACATAGTAAAAATATTACACACAACTCTTCAATAATAACTTGTAATTTTATTTCTTCAAAAGAAGATAATGTTCTTACGGCAATTTTATCTTTTGTCGGTTTAGTTGGGTCTTGTATTTCAATTTAAAAATCTAAATTATTTTCTTTGTGATATATTTAGACTTATCTTGATTTTTATTTATTAATGCACAAATGAATATTTATTGTAAATAATAAATACTAAGTAGTCTATTGTATTTCAATAAACGTCTAATGAAATAAATATTTCCTTAAAAATTTGTATGCATGTATAATAATTTATCTAACTCTTTTAGTAGCTTATTTATGTCAGCGATTATTTTTTATGCATAATAATATAACGCCGTTTCATTTTTTTTTTTTTTATCTTTGAATTTTATCCCAGAGATTTTTTTTAAAACCTGTTTCTGCACAACAAGGGTTCGACTGACTACAATAAATATTTCGATTGTATTTTTTTGTGTAAATTCCAGAAGTCTAAAAACTAATTTATTGACTGGCAAGGGTCACGTCACATTAATAAGCCTCAACTGCAAATGCCAACAAATTACTGTAATACCTTTAACAAAAAATGTGTCTTATAAATTAGACAAATATTTTTTATCAAGGCTATTTATTTAAATTAATTTTAATTATAAACTAGTCTTACAATAAGTTATTAATAATTTAATTAACATTTTGTTTTGCTTACAGGAATTACTTGGATTTAAATACTAATTATTATCAAGGAAACTTACAATCACTAAACAGCAAAATGGTGAGTAATATAATTTACAATATTTATATTCTATTTATTTAATTATTTGTAATTATAAATTTATGATTATTTGATTATTGATTTGTAACTTTGTTTTAGGTTGAAGGAAATAAAACCTCGACTGAGATGCACACTTTTCTACCTCAAGATGATGCGCTAGCATCTAAGTAAGATATTTACAAAAATAATTTGTTTTTCATTCATTAAAATTTAGTAATTAATTTTATTATTAATTTAAATATTTTTTTTTAGATATAAAGTACAAGTTGTTTCAAAAGATGTGGAAGTCGCAACCCCTCTGGCGAATTCCAAAAATTTTGATCCATTTACTGAGCGAAAAATTGACAATCCAACTACGTAAGTATTCCTTCTCAATTTAATTTATTTTACAATTTCTACTAACGACTTTACTAATATTAATGATATTAATGATATTAATATAAAACAAAAAAAATTATTTACAGAGATGGTGAAACGCTAACGCATTTACTGAAAGCAGCTTTGGGTACTGGAATCCTTTCTATGCCCTATGCCTTCAGAGGCGCTGGAATTGTAGGTGGTATCCTGGGAACAATCTTCGTCTCACTTATCTGTACTCATTGCTCTTACATCTTGGTAAGTTGACAATTTTAGAATAAATGGTTAAAATTTTTGATATTACGGCGAAAATATTGGACCTATAAAAAAAGTTTGCAACAAAAGTTGTTCAAAATTTAATTTTGAAATAAAAATGATTCTTATGATTTAAAAAAAAAAAACCAAAATATTTTAGCTATTATTCTAAAAGTAAGATTTATAATCAAAGGTTCAAATTTTTTAATAATTATGAATGTTAATTTTGAAATTACAGCTAAAATATTGGTTTTTTTTTTTTTAATCTTAGATATTTTTTTTAGACAATTAAATTTTTAATAACTTTTGTATCAAAAATTTTTTTATAGGACCAATATTTTCGCCGTAATATAAAAAACTTGTACAATTTATTTCAATTCACGAAAAAAAAACTCGAAAAATTACAGTATATAATGCAACGTGTCGCTCCGTGATGAAAACAGAAAAAATTACAGTTTGAGATTGTAATTATTATAGATTTTATAAGAATTACATTGTAGAGTGCAATATTTACATTGAAAGCTTTGAAAATTAACATTCAAAGTTTGAATTAAGAAAAATGTTATTTCTAACTTAAACTGTAATTTTTCTAGTTTTGATTACGGGACCGATTTTACATTTTTTACTGTAACTATTCCTGTTTTTTTTTTTGCGTAAAAATAGTTGCAAAAAGCGCTAATAATTACTAAAAAATAATTCAAATTTGTTTCCAGGTAAAATGTGCCCACGTATTATACTACAAAACGCATAAAACAAAAATGGGATTTGCTGACGTCGCAGAAACTGCATTTGCAACTGGACCAAAATGGGGCCGTAAATTTTCCAAATTCTCCAGGTAACAAAACTAATAAAAAGCACCTTAAAAAAACAATTTATCACCCTAAAAATAATTTTCCAGGTACTTTGTCCAAATTTGCCTGTTCTCAACCTACTTCGGCGCTTGTACAGCGTACAACATCATCATAGCAACAAATTTCGGGCAAGTAATAAAATACTACATGAACCACACCGCGCCAGTAGTATTGATGACCAACACGACCACCCTAGTGAACGTTTCCGACGTAGTAAACACGACAACAGCAGCGATAGAAACAGTAATCCCCCTGGATATTTCATTCATGAGAATAATAATAGCCTGTCTGTTCGTACCGCTGATCCTGCTGGTCTACGTGCCTGACTTGAAGTACTTGGCGCCTTTTTCAATGGTCGCAAACATCTTCATGGCCTGCAGTTTAGGAATGACCTTCTACTACCTGGTCCAAGACATGTTACCAATAAACCAACTGTCTCTAGTGAGACCATACTATGAATTCCCGCAATTCTTCAGTGTCACGGTATTCGCCATGGAAGCTATCGGAGTGATAATGCCTCTGGAGAACAACATGAAGACACCCCAGAACTTTGTGGGAATTTGCGGAGTCCTCAGCAGAGGAATGGGAAGTGTCACCTTCGTCTACATCTTCCTTGGCTTGCTTGGATACATGAAGTACGGAGATCACGCAAATGCGGTGATCACTGCGAACCTGCCGATTGCTTTGATACCAGCCCAGGTCGTCAAAGTTTTGATCGGACTCGCTGTTTTCTTCACCTTCGGGCTTCAGTTCTACGTTTGCATTGACATCGCCTGGAATGGAGTCAAGGAACACTTTGCTCCCAGGCCAAAAGTTGGGGAATACATCGTAAGGACGGTCATGGTGATCTGCTGTGTCTCCCTGGCCATCGCTATCCCCAACATCGGACCGCTTGTTGAACTTGTAGGTGCGTTCTGCTTCTCCCTGCTTGGACTTCTTGCTCCGGTGGTCATTGAAGTCATCACCTACTGGGACGTCGGGTTCGGTCGCTTCAACTGGATGATTTACAAAAATGTTGTCGTTACTGTAATCGGACTTTTGGCGCTTGTTTTTGGTACCAAGTCTGCTGTCATAGGCATCATTGAAGCTATGATGTAGAATCATCATTTATATTTAAGTTTGCTATTGCTTCAATTAATTAGTTACAATCTTACTCAACTGATTATAAGACTTGTAATGGTTCACATTTTTTATTAGATTTTTTAATTGTAATCTTTTATATTAAGTTTATTGTTAAGTTGTTTAAAATTATCCACCGATATTCTTCAATTTTTGTCTCTTGTTCTTTGGCTTCAAGTGTGAAAATTAATTATCATCTTAATGATCATTTTTTATTTTTTTTTTTTTTTAAATTGCATTTTTGATTTTTTTAAGTTTCTATGTCAATTTTTTTTCTGCTGTTTGGTACAAAAATTACAAAAATTATTCATAAAATTGAAACTTAAGTGTACTTAACAATTTTATCAAGGATATTTTATACGACATAAGTTATATTTGTATAATCATTGCCTAAAAATCCCACATGTATTTTCATAATTCTTATAGAGAAATAGTATCGCTTCACATTGTAAATAATACATTTTTATACAGTATTACTGCTCAATAGTTTTTAATAAAAAATTGTATCTTTTTTATTGAATTGTAAAAATATTAACATCTAAAGGTTATGATTATTATTAATAAAGTTTAAATGATTAATAATTTTAGAGGTTTATTTTATTTCTAAGGCTAAAACTCAGTAAGCCTTGGCGGATTCGTAGTCACGGTAAAATTATCGTGAAACGACGGTGAAAGCACCGTCAATTCACAGTGTAGACAAATTATCGTCGAATAACCGTCACTTGACTGTCGAACGACCGTCGTTTGACAGTGAACGATGAGTATAGCTGTGAACGATTTTCACTGTTACTTTATGATTTTTATTCTGTATAGTTATTATACTTCACTTGTCGAAAAACCAAATTTTTACTTGACTTCTCCGATTTTTTACCTAAGTAAAAATCGTAGATCATCGATCGATCGTCTGTCATTGCACGGTAGTTTGTAGGTGAAATGACCGTGAAACGAGCGTATAATGTCGGTAAGTCAGGAATGTTTTACTAGTCAACGATGAAAAAAAGCTGACAATATTTTATTTTATTTTATTTCCATAAAAATACTCAAACCATAAATTATAAATTATGATCGCTATATATTTTTATATTATTATGTAATATTTTATAGTTGCCATCTGGCCTGTGCCTTGGCATTAATAAATCTAAATAATC